GGGGGTGGGGTGGGGGGGTGGGTGTGGGGGGGTGGGGGTGGGGGGGGGGGTGTGGGTGTGGGGGTGTGGGTGTGGGTGTGGGTGTGAGGGTGTGGGTGTGAGGGTGTGGGTGTGGGTGTGGGTGTGAGGGTGTGGGTGTGTGATTGTTTTCGGAAGGATTAATCACACCACACCCACACCCTAACTCGACAACCGCAACAGCTACCAACCTGCGGTTTTCGTCAATCGAAAGAGGAGAAGTGGGGACGTCTTTTTCCCTGATAATGTATAAGATGAAATTCCTTTAATCCTTTTGCACCGGTTTTTTTTTCAATAAGAAATGTAGAAGTAGCTTTCTCAATCACTGAAAATTCTAAGTGTTTCAACGTATGATAGGTTTCAAAACATAGTACTACGCATAAGCCACAATTGCACTCGTAACTGATTTTTGTTTCCTTCTTTGAAGCACAAGTCATGTGACTGCAGACAAAGGAACACCCTCACCCGTCGTTCGAGCTTTCCACTTTTGTTGGAAGGTGTCGTGCTGTTATACGCACAGACATCTCAGTGAATGATCGATCTCGGCTATCCAATCTTCGAACACCAAATTCTTCCACAAGCATTCGAACTATTTCCAGTCAAAAATCGGAAAGAGCAATTTTTTCGCCGGTTTGTGTAGTATATCGGCATTGAAGAGCGAGATATCAAGGAAATGGAAAAAGAATTTTTTGTATCATTTCAATGATGTGCGCACAGATTTGGAAAACGACATTTGCATATCAGATTGATTGACAAACCTTTTATTGTCGTTGTAGTCTTGGACAGAAATGGGCTTTGCAATTCGATGACCTGTTTAATAATTTACTTTCTCGGTGGTTGTCATTTCTGTCTCGTCAAAATAGATGAAATTATATTTGACAAATAAAGTTTCACAAAAAAAAGAATGTTCTGTAATTAACAAATAAGATCTTTTAAATCTAATGAAAGGAGAAAAAGAAATTAATTATTATTGATTTGTTCTTGGAGTTGTTTAGCCGAACAATCAGTTGTAGAATTATCTTTAATAATTGAATTGAATTTCGAATAATCAACAGTATAATAAAGATTATCAAAATGAATCATTCTTTCAAATCTTGCTCCCCAAATTATTTCTTCAGGTAGATAAGAAGTTTTAGCTTGTGTAACCATTCCAGTTGCTTCAATAATTCCTTCAAGAACAAGTAAAATTTCAAATTTTTCCGTGTAAATTGTCGTTTTATCCATTGTATATAATGGACTTCGCATATCAATTTTATGTTCAATAATAAGTGGCCAATTAAGAAATAATCTATCTTTTCCAGCATCAAAACCTACATCCATATCAGTTAATTGAAGTGGAATTATTTCATTTTCTTTTGTTTGACGTTTTGAAACATAATACATTCTTATATGAGCTTCAACTAATGTTGATCTATAACGCATATCACCTAATCGACATTGTAATGTTAAAAGTCCATCACGAAGTGAAATGACAGCTTGTTGTGACCAGATTAATGTTCGACGACGTTTTCGTGGACGACATAATTTTGTATAAACAAGACCAACCCATAAAGCTTGAATTAAAAGACCAAAGCAACTTTGAATTATTACAAGAATAATTCCAGCTGTACATTTCTCAGTTACTGCTCGAGTTCCATAACCAATTGTTTGTTGAGTTTCTATTGAATAAAGAAGTGCACCACTAAATGATTTTACACCAGCAACACAAGGAATATAATTATCATCAGTTCCATTTAATGTTTTATTTGAAAAATCACCATGAATAATCATTATAACATACCAAATAATAGCAAATAAAATCCATGATATGACAAAACAAAAAACGAATAAAAATAATATCCATATCCATGGTAAATCTAATAATGATGTAAAAATATCTTTTAAATAACGAATACGATTTTCAATATGTAACCTATATTGAATATTTCATTTTATTTTATTTTATATGAATAAAAATTTACCTTCGAAAATTAATATTTCCATCTTTTGTTATAAGCCGTTGCCGACTCCATGCTATACCTACATATTATATTTACATAAAAATAAAATAAAAGAAAATATATTCAAAATTACTTGTACGTTGTCTTATGTTAATTCTAAATTAAAATAAATTAAAATTTTTGTTTATTAATTTATACAAAATAAATAAATACTAAACGGATTAATTGATGAATTCATTTNAGCTTGTTGTGACCAGATTAATGTTCGACGACGTTTTCGTGGACGACATAATTTTGTATAAACAAGACCAACCCATAAAGCTTGAATTAAAAGACCAAAACAACTTTGAATTATTACAAGAATAATTCCAGCTGTACATTTTTCAGTTACTGCTCGAGTTCCATAACCAATTGTTTGTTGAGTTTCTATTGAATAAAGAAGTGCACCACTAAATGATTTAACACCAGCAACACAAGGAATATAATTTTCAGCAGTTATATTTAATGTTTTATTTGAAAAATCACCATGAATAATCATAATAACATACCAAATAATAGCAAATAAAATCCAAGATATGACAAAACAAAAAACAAATAAAAATAATATATATATCCATGGTAAATCTAATAATGATGTAAAAATATCTTTTAAATAACGAATACGATTTGCAATATGTAATCTATATTGAATATTTTATTTTAATTTATATAAATAAAATTTACCTTCGAAAATTAATATTTCCATCTTTTGTTATAAGCCGTTGTCGACTCCAGGCTATACCTACATATTATATTTACATAAAAATAAAATAAAATAAAATATTTTCAAAATTACTTGTACGTTGTCTTATGTTAATCCTAAATTAAAATAAATTTAAAATTTTTGTTTATTAATTTAAACAAAATAAATAAATACTAAACGGATTAATTGATGCATTCATTTGAGATATTCTACGATTTAATCTATCATAATTGAAAGATGCATTTTCAATCATCTCGAATCAAATAATGTTTGTTCGATGTTTTTAATGTGTATTCCTTGCACTAGATATCCTCTTCATTTATTATTTTAAGTGCGTTTTTTTCTCTCATATCACATGGTAAATACATCACCTTACTGCTATTTTAGTATCAAAACGTATTTCGTCAGACACTTACAAACAATACGAGTGTTGATGATAATTATTTGTATACATCCAATTTATTCACACTGAATATAAACATACTTTTTTTGCCTACGAAAAATATTATTAGTCATGAAATAGAAAAAAACGTTTAATAACAATAGAAAAGATGACAAATATATGATTATATTTTAAATATGAAAATATAAACAAAATACTCTGATGTAAAATACCTTCCAAGAAACGAAATCTTACACATTTTATTTTTATTATTATAATCAAACATTTTCTCTATTCATTTTAATTGTTAAAAAACATTTTTTATTTTCATCTTTTTTTTTTTTGACAAATGACTAAATCAAATAATTTTGAATAATTATAAATACTATTATGACAAAGTTTGTTAATTCACTAGAAGAAATAAGTTTAAATTCGTCCAAATATTTTGTTATTATTTTCGTCATTTCTTAAATATTTCTTCCTTAAACTATTCAATCATTTGGAAAAAACTCTATTTTATTGTTTGTATCTTTCAAACAAGGACAAAAGAAAAGATTTTTTTGTTCTCAAAGCGAATAATAAGAAAAAGACAAATAGTTTCTTCAATAATAGTTGATTAATTAACAAAGAAATGTTTGATTATGTTATATGAGAAGATTTCAAAAGACAATGAAAGATAATTTCATATATATATGTCGTAGGACAGATTGAAATCCAGTTCAGTTTTAAATCGAACTAGGACAGATTGAAGTTTTAATTTTTCCTAGTTCAGATCAAAATTTTAAAGTCAACTAGTTGATATTGAAACACTCTAAGTTAAAATGTGTCGGATGTGTCGTAATTCGCAACACATCCCACGACACATTCGAGCACGACACGAGGTGCTCGTTGCGACACATTTTCTCCAGCAAGCGTACGACACATTATTCCACAACACATTCTGAAATCAATGTTCGAGTCTAGGCTTCACCGTATCCATAGTTTTTTTTCTTTCGTGCATTATATTCATCCATATTTAATTATGCAATTAACATCGGTGTTTGATGCAAGAGTATCAACCAGGCAAATCTTGAGATCCAACCGTGTAAGGCAAGTCAGATCTTGGTCGGACTATTGCGGGAAAGACCTTTCTTTAGGTGAGGTCATTACTTCTCGAAATATTTACAAGAAATAAATAAGCGAGAAATA